GTTTTACTGGTATATGTTTGATACCTGCTCTGATACCATGTAAAAAATGGAAGCAGTAATAGAGAAAATGGAGATAGTATTTTATTGATACGTTGTTCTGATTTACAAGTAGGAGCAATAACTGATTATATAACAAAGTAAACTAACAGTTGCCTATGGGATAATTTAAAAATGGAAAGAGTAGGGTGGCTCCTTTCCCTGAACCTAGTTGTTGCTTTTTCTCAAAATAGTCTGTGATGAATAGACCTCTCAATGGGTTACATGCCGTAATCTTCCTTAGCTCTTCCTTAACCAGTGTCGTTTCTCAACTCCTTTCATGAAAATTCATATCTTTTCAGGAAAGATTGACACTAATTTGTTGGGTATGAATGAAAAACTGTAATATGTGATAGTTTTCTATACCATACTTTTAGTGCACAAAAAAAGAATAATAAAAAAAATAAAACAAGATTTTCATTCTTCTTCCTCCAAAATAAATTTCAGAAATATTTTTACTGTTCTTGTTCCTTTAAAGAGTTTTTCACTTTATTGCTTTGGGCAACTCTTAAAAGTCTGTCATATTCTCCAAATTATTTGTCGAAAATTCTAAAAACATTCCAAGTAGGGGCAAATATCGTTTTAAAAAAGCGTATTGTATGTGTGTTTCAGGCCTTATTTTAGCGTTCATACTCGGTTCAAGTTTTCAATTTTCCTTCTCCTTTGGTCCAAAAGTATTTTTCCAACAATGGGTCTGTTCAATATTGCTGTTGGAGAGAAACAATTTCACTCTTATGCCCATGGGTACGATAAATCAAATGAATGTGGTTGCAATATAAGCTGATTTAGCGTGCCCTTACTGCAAATCAATTAGTTTCCAATGAAACGGTTGAAATTCGATCTTAAAAAGTGGTTTTAAAGCTAAGGTCAAGAGACTGTTCATGTCGTAGGAATGTCATGTTTGAGAGATGAGTTGTCAGAAAGCAACAGTGCCGCTCTTAAATCCATGGATTGGGCCTCTGCCAAATTATGAAGGTCGAATACCATGAAAGCTGTGTTTGACATGCCCTATTTTCCATGGAAAATGGAAAAATGATTTTCTTTTCCACCCAATTTGTATTGTTTGATAGCTTTTTTTCCAGGCAAAACTTTTTCTTCCCAGCAGCCTCATGCGCCAATTTGCTTTGTTTTGGAGGAAATGATTTTCCCACCAAAATGGTGAGAAATTATTTTCCAGTTGACCTTTTTTTTTTTGGGCAAAGGAAACAAATGTCATAATCAATTGTAAAAAAAAAATAATTTCACTTTAATGAACAATTTCCATATAAAATAAAGTCAAACGAACACTAAACTTTGATTAAAAAAATGATTTTTTAGGAAACAATTTTTTTTTTCTTTTTTTACTTTTTGGTAATGGAAACAAATTTTATAACCAATTGTG